AGCAGCTGTGCTGGCCCAGGCAGCCTATGTTGGGGGCCTTGGGGAGCTGCAGCCATGATGCTTCTGCAGCAGGTCTTCTGGCCGGCAGCTGGAGCACAGATCTGACTGGCCAGGCTTTGGTTATGGGCAACATGTGGTGCCACCACATACGCCACCCTGCTTTTTTTCAACATAGGTTTTTTTGACCCCCAGAAAGGTAATGCAAAGTAGCAGTGCGGGGAATGCCTTCGTGTGCAGTGTGTGGCACCACAGACAGGTCTGCGGCATCACATAATACTTGCCTGCGCTCATCTGGACGCAGCTGCAAAGTTTGAGGGAAGACCCTCAAAAACAAAACTTTTCCACCTGTAGGCGTTACTGAGTAGAGTTGGATAGAGCTAACATAGGCATTATTAAGTGCAGCTTGATTGGTTTTGGGTAAACAGTATAAAGAAAACCTGTTTATTCATATTTTCAGGAGCCCATTTTTAGCTGTGTTGGATCTGTTCAGTTCATGCTGTAATAAAGGGAAATCGTGGCAAATCTATTTTAAATCAGCGCCGGTTACTTGAATTAGGCCAGATATTTGTTTTTTGAGTTGTGACTGTGTGCTAGAGCTTGTGTTGGAAGAAATGCTTCTGCCATTGTTTATCAGGACATGGTCGGGGGAATGTAAAATAGATCTTGTTTTGCTTCTTTTTATAATGCTGCTACATTGTACTTACATTCAGTGTTAGGATTGAGGAAATTTCTGTTTCATCCTGTCTGGCAGATGCAACCATCTTTTTGCTTTACTATTTTGAAGTATCATGGATCTTATTGCCAGGAAAAGCTGTGTCCTGTATGTCAACATTTGTCAGTACAGCCCTGGGTGGAATGTCAACATTACTTTTTAATAAAACAATGCAGGAAACTGCATTTAATTTTTTTATTAGACTACGTCAGTTGTGACAGTGTTGAATTGGGACCTCCAAACCTTAATCAAGGATTGGGAAGTGAGTCCTGCAAGAAAAGAAGTTGCTTAAATAGTAGAAGAGAAGATTTTTGTAATGTGCCGTTTTATTTGTTTTTTACATTGCAGAAGTGATGCTTGTTGCTATCTGCTTTCTGCTACCATCAGGGGAGTTTATATTTCTCTTGAAAATACTTGAGTTCAAAATCTTGCATATTAATTTTTTTACCAGAGCCCACAAAAAGTGGAATATTAGAGAAAACAGCTCTGTAGCAAAATGTGCAATGGCAAATTTGTGTAATGTTGAGCATGTTAACCACATGCTCAGCATTACACAAGGCCCCAAATGGTCTCTACCACATAGTTCTGTGGCTTAAAATGTGTACACCTGTGTAGTGTGTAACCTTACCGCAGGGGATTTAACCCATCTCTTTTATCTTCTCGTTTTGTTAGAGCTGTGAAAAAGTTGTTGTTAGTTGAATTTGACAGTCAGTCATTTTGTAGGCTAGGATAGTTCAATAGATGAATAGTTTTTTATGCCTAAAGACTAGGATTAAATTTGGCTTTGATAACTGGGCTTTTTGTCATTGTGTCTCAATCCACCACTTGTTTTGCATAATAATGTGCATTTTGAGAGCACAAGTTAATGGAATTTAACACATAAATAACAGTTTTATTTAATTCTAATTTTCATATGTAACTTATTAAGAAGACATTGCCCATAATGTTATGGTTCATAATTCCAGCAGTGAACCATAGGATCCAGATACTTTGCAGGGTTCCTCAGTCTCCTGTGAAGATGAGGGTTTGCAAAGTATCTGGGTATATAAAGAGCTGCAGGAAACAGTTATGTAGGACTGCTGAGATATTCCAGCTGTTTGCAGCAGCTTTTATGTCAAAGGGCATATCTTCCCTGATCAGCTGTGTGAAACCACTGATAAGTTTCAGCTGATTGGTAAAAGCTGTAAAAAAAAAACAAAACAAAAAAACAAAAAAACCCCAAACCAACAGCTGAAAGCATTTTTAATTCAGCAACCTGCTGTGAATTAAGTTGGTTGCAGACTACTCTGTTACAAGTGATCTTCTTTTGTATCTGATTCCAGAAGTTGATCAGTAGTAGAAAAATATATTTGTTGAATATAACAGTCAATGAATAGCATGATTTGTGATCAGGTAATATATTTGATGAATAGTACTAGACCCATCATGATTGCTACATCTTTTTTTTTTCTTATGTGCATCTTGCTTCATTCTTTCATTTTTGTTGATGTGCTACATTGTGACATTTCTTCTTGGGCTTCATTTTTCCTTCTCTCCATACATTATGCCCTCTGCCACTGCATTTCTAATTTTTGTATTTTCTTTCCCTTTCCATTTCTTCCCCCAAAAAGCACAGTCCCCCTTTGTTTCATAATCCCTCTGTCTTCTCCTACCTGTATATACCTGTATGTAGGGCTTTGAAATTATATCAGGTAACTAGTAGACAGAGAACTGTCGATCAGGCACAGGGTGATAAACTGAAGAAGAAGAGGTGCTGTTACAGGAATGATGTGCAGATAAAAACACTGCCAGACTGGTGTTTGCCTTATATTTCTGCCCAACGGCTCCCTTTTTTCTGTCAGCCTCTAGCTGGAAGGTATCTGATGAAATTGAAGCTCTTGTCCAAAGGGAAGGTTTACCCCAAGCATAATGTGCTACTAAATGCTGCTCTCTTCTTTTGGGTTGCTGCAAGGATGATGTCTCCTCTGTTTCCATCCTCCATTTCTGGCTGCTCCTCCCTGTTGAATCCGGTATTTCCATTGCCTGCCTTCTATAACGGTTAGAACTTTTCCAGGTAGCTGCAGAATGAAACTGCCTGTAAGCTGCATAGTCATTCACATGCCTCCCACTAGTAGTAAAAATTGACACAACTTTTTTTTTTTTTTTTACTTGGTTTGAATTTCAGCGGTTACATAAATGCTTAGTTTACAGACAGACAAAGCTTTGCAGTCTGCAGGCCTGGGAAGATGGTATTGAATCTACTTTTATTTAATTAACATTTTCAAGTTTAATTACATAACCCTAGTTAGAAACTTGTTTGGGTTCTTTTTTTTTTTTTAAAAGAAAACTGTTTCTGCAGCTGTTGATGCTACTTGGGAAAACACTTTACCCAAGTGGTTAGTGGATTTTTGAAGCTGCGTTCCTCATTTGTAAAACAGAAAAGTAAATTTTTCTCTCTTTCCATGCTACTCCTTCCATTTTTACAAAACTAAAACAAGGGGATAGTTTTAATCTTTACTAAATTGTAACCAGAACCTTAAATTGTATAGGGTTATGATTTGTTCTGGTGGGGCTCTTCAGAATGGGTTTTACTGGGTATATGCAGAGGTTGAGGGAATAGTAGAACCCCCCACTTCTTTAACACTGAGTTCTTTGTTTTGATAATTATGTAATCAAAAACTAAAAACTGAACAAATAATTGCTGCGTATTGCGGTCAGTGCCAGTGAAATCAGTGTTAATAGTTCAGGTTCAGTAGGAATGCTTTATTGACTTCGGTTGTTTTTAGAGGTGTGCTGATATATTGGTGCCATATCAGATTGGCAGCGATCAAAGAAAAATTAACATTATCAGCGATCAGCTTTTTTTGGTCGGTGTAGCCAATAATGTAATGATAAATACAATATGCCTTCAGACCGGGACCCCCAGACACTGCGTACATGCTCGCAGCTGCACTCATGCACGTGTCCAGGAATGCAGTTGGGTAGCGTGGAGAGCAATGCCCTGCAGGTAAGTCTGTGGAGGTGAAGGGGCATGGGGTGGGACAGATGGAGACCCCCATGGTGAGGGAGGGAGTGGGGCAGGGGCAGGGCAGTGAATGGAATCCTGGGGTCAGGGTGGGGAGCGGGATGGAGCCATGAGCGGCTTGTCCAGGGGATCAGCATCCTGGCATTTAAAAATGGTGGTAGGGATGCTTGAACTAAAGCTTATTGAATGAGCTTTAGTTTAAGTGCCACTGCCACCATTTTTAAGCAGCGAGATACTTAACTGTGGCAGAGCCAAGCAGGGCGAGGTAGAAGGCCAATGTGGGCTGCCCACTGTGGGCTTGGGGCTCTTTGCCCTGCTGTCCTTGCCCCAGGAGCCATGCACTGGCCGTGCCACATCCCCTACCTGTCCAGTGTCAGTGGTGGTGGCGAGTTGTGCCTCCAGCTGCTGGATGGGCAGGGGACGTGGCTCCTGGGGCCAAGGCAGCAGGGGGAAAAAGCCCCAAGCCCACAGAGGGCAGCTCACCTCTGCCCTCACCCCACTCAGCTCTGCTTTGGTTAAAAGTGTCCCAGAGCTTCAAAATGGTGGCGGTGGTGCTTGAACTAAAGCTCATTCAAGCACCTCCACTACCATTTTTGTGCCTTCTGACCGGGGCCCCCAGATGTTGATCCCCTGGAGAAACTGCCTGCAGCTCCATCTGGCCTCAGGGTCCCATTCACTGCCCTGCCCCTGTCCCACTCCTTCCTCACTGTGAGGCCTTAATCTGCTCCTCCCATGCCCCTCCCCCTCCACAGACTTACCTACAGGGTGCTGTTCTCCACGCTGCCCAACTGCTTTCCTGTAAATCAGTTATTGGATCAGTATCAGTCAATATGCCTGGTAAATAATCAGCTATCGGTATCAGCCAAGAATATATTTATCAGTGTACCCCCGGTTGGTTTTTGTTTTCTTGATTGCTTTGATTTGTCTGAAATGAATGAAACAATTCTGTGGATACTTTATTATAAGCGTAAAACTCCCAGCTTTTAATCCAAAAGGCCCATTAAACTAATTTTCACATTGTAACATTTAACGCAAATCTGAATTTGTGTATGCATAGTACTATATAATAGAACTGTAATCTCTCATTTAATTTATGTAGAAAGCTTTTCAGTTATGTATTGTCATCTTAACAGTTACATATATTTAGAAAACATATTTCAATTTCAAACTGATTTTCAGTACGAAATGGCCGTTCAATGAGAACTAATATTTATTTGAACTTCTGTAGGCTAAACATGTCTGGAAAAAGCTGGTGAATTGACACATTTCCATTTATTGCTCAAGGTATCCATCTCGAATTGAGAAGATAGACTATGAAGAGGGGAAGATGTTGGTCCATTTTGAACGCTGGAGCCATCGCTATGACGAGTGGATTTATTGGGACAGCAATAGATTAAGACCCCTGGAGCGACCAGCACTCCGGAAAGAAGGGCTGAAAGATGATGAAGAATTTGTTGTAAGTAGTACTTTCTTTTCCTGCATAAGCTATTGCATTTGCTTTCTAAAGCTAAATATTACTGCCAGATTTGTAACATGTAGGTTTCTTTAGAGGAAGTTTGAAGCTCAAGATATTAACTATTAAAATTATTTTAAATAGGATTTTAAACCTGGAGAAGAGGTGCTAGCTCGTTGGACAGACTGTCGATATTACCCAGCCAAGATTGAAGCAATTAACAAGGAGGGTATGTATATAAGTGCACTGTAGCTGTAAGTACTCTGTTTTTTTTTAAATGTGAACACAACTATGGTCTACTCAAATGAAGCATGGCATATCTGTATCTTTAAGGATAGGTATTTAGAATGTCAAATATATTGTAAGATGCATTATTATTTTAGTAGCTGGGAAGCATTTGGTTTAGTGAGAATGCCTGCCCTGAAACATGTTGCGTTCCATAGAATTATAGAAAATTAGTGTTGGAAGGGACCTCAGGAGGTCATCTAGTTAAGTGGTGCTCAACTTTTTTGCCCAGCTGGCTGGATTGGCTCAGCCTGACAGGCTTGGGATTTTGGAATTCGGCAGGGGAAGGATGGTTGTATTAACGGTTACCACTCCCCTGCCACCAAATTTCCAGACCTGTGGGGTGTCGTGCAGGCCAGATGCGATATCTCTGTGGACCACACTTGGCCTGCAGGCTGAAAGCTGAGCGCTCCATGTCTAGTCCAACCACCTGCTCAAAGCAGGACCATCCTCATCTATATCAACCCAACCAAGGCTTTGTCTGCCCTGTTCCTAAAAACCTCTAATGATGGAGATTCTGCAGTCTGTCTGGGTAGCTTGTTCCAGTACTTCACTACTCTCCTACTGAGGAGGTGTTCATAATGTCTAACCTAAACTCTTGAGATGCAACTTCAGACCATTGCTTCTTGTTCTGTCATCTGCCACCACTGAGAACAGTCTGACTTCATTCTCTTCATTAAATACTCCCTCCATTCTTCTCTTCTTCGGACTAAAGACATGGTTCCCTTGCCCTCTCCTCATGTTCCCCAGTCCTCTCATAATTTTGGTTCGCCTCTGCTGGACTCTTCCCCAATTAGTCTGTGTCCTTTCTGTAGTGGGTGGCCCAAAACTGGACACAGCACTCGAGATGTGGCCTCACTGTTGCCAAATAGAGGGGAATAATCACTTCTCTTGATCTGTTGGCAGCACTCCTCCTAATGCAGCCCAATATGCTGTTAGCCTTCATGACAGCAAGGGCACACTGTTAGCTCATATTCAGTTTGTCTGGTGTAACCCTCAGGTTCTTTTCTGCGGAGCTGCTGCTTGGTTATTCAGTGCCTAGTCTATATGAGTTTATGGGGTTGTCCAATCTTCCAATTTGTCAAGGTCTTTCTGAATCCTATCCCTACCCTCCAGCGTATCAACTACTCTGCACAGCTTGGTGTCATCTGCAGACTTGCCGAGGGTGCACTCCATCCCATCTTCCAGGTCATTGAAGGTATTGAAAGACACTGGCTCCAGGACTGACCCCTGGCGCAGTCCACTTGATACTGGCTGCCAACTAGACATTTAGCTTTTGATTACTACCCTTTGAGACAGACGATCCAGCCAGTTTTCTATTCACCTTACTATCTACCCTGTATTTCCTTAGCTTGCTTGTGTACTAAAAGCCTTGCTAAAGTCAAGGTGTACTGCATCCACTACTCTGTTTGCATCCACAGTGCCAGTCAGCTCATAGAAGACAATCAGGTTGGGCAGGCCTGACTTGCCCTTGGTGAATCCATGCTGACTGTTCCTAATCCCCTTCTTCCCCTCCAAGTGCTTAGAAATGGATTCATTGAGGACCCGTTCCCTGGCTTTTCCAGGAAACAAGGTGGACCGGTCTGTAGTTCCTCAGATTTTCCTTCTTCCCTTTCTTAAAGATGGGCAATATATTTGCCCTTTTCCAGTCATCTGGGACATCTCCCTATTTGCCACCAGTTTTGAAAGATAATGGCCAGTGGCTCTGTAGTTGCATTGACCAGTACCCTCAGGTGCATCCTATCTGGCCCCATGGACTTGTGCATGTCCAGCTTTTCTAAATAGTCCTTAATCTGTTCTTTTACAACTGGTGGCTGCTCACCTTCTCCTCAAACTGTGCTGCTAGGTGCAGTAGTCTGGGAGCTGACCTTACCTGTGAAGACTGAGGTAAAAAAGGCATTGAGTGCTTCAGTTGCAACTTCCCCCATTCAGAGACCCACACTTTCCCTAATCTTCCTTTTACCCTCTATGAACTTGCACATGTAAGTTGTTCAGGGTAATAGGAAGAATATTCATGCCTCAATGTTATATATTTGAATTTACAATGATTATGTTTAAATATCCAAATTATATTAGGAAGTGGGGCTAGACATTTGGTTGTTGGAGAGAGAGAGCATTGTGCAGTATTAAAAGGAAAAAATGTTAACTGGTTTGGGCACATTTTAAAAAATGGGATAGCATTTGTATTGAATTTAAGAAGAATTAAAGAAATATACTAAATAGTTTAGTAGGATTCAAATGGAATGGGACTTGATTTTGCTTGTAAATATAAATGTTCCTCTGTACTGATAACTCAACAATGTAACATTTATGTTACTCTATTAGAACTTAGTTATGCACCAAATTAAAGAGCTGATTTATGATTGTCCAAGCTGTGCGAAATGTAGAAAATGTATAAGAATTGGTTTTAAAAAGTTTTAGTTGACCTGTCCAAGGTTCTGAATCTGTATCCTTCAAGGAGAAATCATAATAACTGTTAAGGGAAGAGTTTTAATGAGATGTATAGACCTGTTTTACTAGCCTAATCAAAATACTCTCATAAGCAGGGATTTGGCATGTGTAGGACCTTAGGCTGAAAAATGAAGTGACAAAGATTGTGTGGAAGTCATCAGGTAGATACTTTACTTTATACCTGCTCATCATGATTGTGTCAATCCTATTCTAGGAACCTTCACTGTACAGTTCTATGATGGTGTTATTCGGTGTCTAAAAAGGATGCATATCAAATCTATGCCTGAAGATGCCAAAGGGCAGGTAAGGATATTAGGAGTCTTCCCAACTGTTCTTGTTGGTTACCAAAAAGGGCACAGGGTATTACCAGAGTGTCTGTAATCAAATTCTCTGCTGATTGTTTCACTTAAGAAGCATCTTTTTAGCTCAATATTTTTGGACTTGCTGCTGCATCCACTTTAAGGCCTTTCTTGTCTTGGTTCACCATATCTCACTGAAGGTGATTTACCAAGAGTGAGTTATTTGTCACCCTAGCTGTCAAACTTCTGGCTGCAGTATGCTTCCTTCACTGAATCATTTCTATCCTGAATATTCTTCTCAATGCTGCCAACAGAGGGGCCCCAGGGACTAAAGAGGCACTCATCTCATCCGTTTCAGAAGTGCCTTAATGTATCAGTGGTCTGCTGCTGGTTGGAGTTTTATATAGGTAGTCTCTTCCCGCCTCATTCCATAGTTGTTTGCTCTGCCAGGCCTGTTGGAATCAGAATCAGGAAAATATTCCTTTACTCATGGCATTACCCCACCACTCTACAGGTGATTCTAGTAGGAAGTAGAGTTGGATTGGGAGGTGCAGGGATGCAATTTAAGTTTAATAGTTGAATTCTAAATTAAAAAATTCACCATAAAAGATCTCCACGTATGCATGAAGATTTCTTGGGGGTATAATCTTTTAGAGTAGTTGTGTTGATAATGAGAAATTCAGCTTTTTGAAGGACATGGTTGTCTATGAAAACTGAGCTCAATATTCTAGATGCATACAGATTTTTATATTGTTAATAGCTCCCAATTTTATGTGGGAAAATAGAATGTCCTATTTGGATTTGGGAACTTACTACTATAAAAAGGCATAACTCGATATGCTCAGTGGAAATAGAGAACTAAATTGGCCTAAGAAGCAAATTTTATGTCCAGCCTTTATTTAACCAGTAGCTGTATATCGTGATATAATAATCATGAATGCAACAGTAGAACGTAAGGAAATATTGGGGTCTTAGGCAACATGTATAGGTAATTGGCATTGTTTAAAAGTGAAGAGATGAGATTTAAATACAAATCCATCCTCTGCTTAAACTCAGCCTCTTTCTGCAGTGTTAAGAATGCTTTGATGAACTACAGCACAACATTTCAGACACTAATTATCACTACCCCCAGTGATTGGTGTGGGGGTATAAATACTCTTTCACTTCACTTTACAAATAGGGAGACAGAGGTAACAGATTTGTGACTTGACTAATCCAGGGGTGAGAGCACAGAAGTCACTTGTTTAGTTCCATGTTTATTCCACCCAACCATCTTGTCTCCATTCATACTGTGATACTACTCTGTGGCCATAGGATTCTTTTAGAGGAACGAGCTTAGTTGCAAATAGCCTGCTTGGGATGTAGCTTTCAAAAGTCCTGGCATCATATGCCATATGTGCAAACACCATAAATCCTGTGTTTCTCCAAAACTAAGCGCAAAGGGTATGGATTTCATGTTATCTCTGAGGCTGAACTTGGGGTGTACAAGACTAATTTCATCTGACAAAAAGTAACCCTCTCCCCCCCCAAAACCAAGAAGCCCCCAGACTAATTTTTGATTGATTTGAAAATACAGCTTCAGATGAATCTTTAATGTTATATATTAAATTCAAATCCCAACATTTTCTTAAGACAAGAAGAATATAGGAGAATTTCCTTGAGAGATGGCATTTGAAAGGGAATTATTTTATTTATTTTAAACTAAGAAATTGAAACATGTAGAATCTAATTCTGAAAGCAATGCACAGATACAGAAATAATTTATTTTCTAGCTTCTTTGTTGATCAGAGAAAGGGACGCTGTCAACAGGATTCCTTATAACAGACTAAAAAAAAAAAATCAGTTTTCTAGCCCCAAGTAAAATAGTGTGCCCTTATTTAAATAATAATAATAATAATATTCCCTCACACTTTTATTTACAACTTTTCCTATTCCCTACTTTTTATTTCTTGGTCTTCCTATCATGTACTTAAGAGCAGTGTGTGGGTGGTACAGCTGACCAGGAAAACACTGACACCAAGTATTCTCAAAATACTGTAAAACTTGCAAGTTGAACACATCTGTTACTGTAATTTTAAAGGTGATTGATAACAGAAGTGTAGGTGCTGTATTTTTAGATGGAAATGTGATTTTTATTTTATTTTTTAGCATTGATGACGTCTCTTTTAAAGAGATACTTCAAAATGTAATATTCGAAGCGTGCGGTTTTAGTGCTCTGGTACTCGTACATTCATACATTTCAGTTGTGAGGGTGGAAAGACAGTATATATAAAACACAATGTTTGTATAGTACCATGTATGGAGACTAGACAAGGTTCTTGCTTGGAAATGCCTGAACTCTTAAATTTAGATAGAAACCCAACAGGAGTGGGGGAGAAGAGACATTGAAAAAGCTGGGGAAATGAAAACTGCCCTTGTGGAAGCATTTCCAAAGTATTCAGATAACTTATTTTTTTCTATTTCATGTTTTTGTTTTATCTTCAACATAATTAGGCGCGCGAGAGGGAGCAGATAGCGCCGGAGCTGAGATTAGTGACGGAAATCGAACCAAAAGAAGTGAGTTTTGAGGAGGGATTTAAAGGAGAGGGAGGGCACTTGGCACTCAGGAAGAGGAAGATGAGGAGAAAGCACATGGCAATGTGTTTGGGACAGAGACAAAGTAGAGGTGACATGAGGAGAGAATGCGAGTGGAGTTGTAAGTGGGACACAGCTATGTAGATTCTTAAAGGTGAGAGCGAGGAGTGCAGTCTTGATTTGGAAACAACCAGTCAATCAGTGGATGGTGTCTGAATGGGTCTCTTTGTCTGTGTGTGCATGTGGTGGGAGGGATAGCACGGCAAGAGAGGAAAGAGCTATCACTGAAGTATTTTAGATAGAGAAGTAAAGAGGTGATAGTTTTGATAGGTGATAGTAGAGGTGAGCATCACAAATTTGGGTGTTGGTAGAAGGGTTGAATTTTAGAAATGCTACTGTTTTTGCCTTCTCACTGTTGCAGTTCTGAGAGTATAAATTCACTTTCAAGGCTTGTCTTAGCCTTGAAATACAGGAAATGCTGGACAGTTGATGCTTAATTATTTTTGAAGTTTGCAGTTTTCCTCATTTTTGTTTAGGCAATCTGTTTTGTATAATGACATTAGAACAGTGATTCTCAACCAGGGTGCCACACCACCCAGGAGTCTTAATCCTTTCAGGGGCATTGTGGGGTCCGATGCCTAATCATGCAGTGTTGGCACTGTTAGGTGTGCAGTCATTCACAAAACATACATAGAGATTTCAAATAGCAATCCATAGTGTCAAAAAACATTCTACCTGTAGTTGGCTTTTTGAGTTCTTTGCAATAGAACAACACTCACTTTTCCACTGTCAAAAACACGTGGAAACTATGAGTTGGGGTGCCTTGAAGCTAATGAGGGATGCCAGAAAAGTTGAGAATCACTGCTCTATAGCTTTCTCAGTAGTCATTTGGTATGTCAGGCCCCTGAGCTCTGAAGAAGAGCCATTTTTAACCAATTGGAGCATAGCAGTTTGCCTTAATGTTTAGTTATTATGGTAATCTTTTGCTCTAACTTATACCAGAATGCCAGCTTTACCTGACTGGTTCAGCCATTGACTCTTTTGTAGCCTGTTACAGCTTCCCTTGACCTCAGATACAGTCTGATTTAAAAATACATATATTTTAAACAGAGGGAGGAAGATGAAGAAGGGAATTGAGTCTTCATAAATGGGAGTCTGGAATATTCATTGGAGGGAGATACAGGGAATAAAACATCAGCTGGGGCCTTATGAATTAGCTGAGGTACCTATAGTGGATGTGGTTCCATAATAGGACTTTTCAGTTGAATAGAAAAAAGGGTTTGTAATGCTCAGTAGGAGCTGGGAAGGAGAACTACTACTAAAGACTGCTCTCTGGTTACCTGTTAATAGCTGGATCCTGCATTTTGTATATACAGTGTTTGCCACAAGTCTGCAGTTGCCAGTATGAGTTACATTTTTTTAAATAAAGGGTTCTTGAGCCTTGTTATATCCCAGTGTTGAGGCTTGCTATTGTATTAGATGCATTATAACAACCTCAGGTAAAGAAAGACTTCAGGAATCACTGAAGTTTTTGTTCCTCCTCCTCCTCCTTCACCTTCTCTTTCTAATGCTGTATTATGGAAAATAAAGGTTTCTAAATCAGTTCCAGACAAACATTTGAAACATCTGGAGTAGGGTTTTCTGTGCATATTGAGAGAGAAATGTGCATCCTAGTTCACTGGTTCTCAACTGGGGTGCCATGGTGGCAGCACCCAGGTACAAATGCCTGTGCGTTTCCCCTGCATTACGGCTCTCTAATTGGCCTAAAGCTATCTTGTGCCGTGCAGCGCTTCCTGGAACGGTGCCCCATGCAACTCCTGGAAACAGGCCACCTGTGATGGGCCATGAGACTGTTCATTTAGGCAGTCACGTAGCAGAATTTCATGGTAAAGATAAAGAATTTGCCTTGTGCCTTTAGTTTTATTTATAGCCTTTCTGCTGAAATAAAATAAAAATTGACTTTAAAAGTCTTTGGCCAGCTCCCTTCTTTGAGTTGAGTGGTCTTTAAACACTGTGCAGAATGAACATAAATAGGACACTTGCAGTGTCCAAACCTTCCTGTCCTG